CGTAAATTTTTTTACACCTCGCATATCAACGAGATACTTCAGGTCCATAATTTATGATTATTATTAAAAAGAGATGTACACCATTCCGCATTATTTTGCGGTATTTCAATTTGGAATTGGACCAAAATTTTCTAAAATGAAACTTTTTATACGAAAATTTTTGGCAAGTACTTTTAATATTAGTTTTAAAGAATTTAGGTTCAACCAAGTTTTATAGAATAGAAGGTTACGACAAGATGGAAATCATATGTTTAATGAAGAGCTGGTTCAGTTTGTGGGTTGCCGAAAATTAAAAGAAAAATTGCATAATTTTATCTATGAAACGTCATAGCATTTTAACTATAAAACTCTAAAGGCTTGCATAGTAATTTTTTGAAATTAATAACAATTACGATTAAAACGTTCTGAATAATTTAATGCTGAACAAATGTGTCGTAATTTTTAGAGGTTTTGTAAATTAATCAAATTAGGTAGTTAATACTATTTTTTAACAAAAATTTCTGCCAACTCTAACTTGTTGTAACACAATAAGCTATCATATGTATTGTAATATTTTTTCTTGTTCATTTATTCAGTAGATATAAATGTTTAAATATTGCACATATTTTCACATTGAGCACATTTTGTTTGGGTGTTTTATTCACAAGACAAACAGCAGATGTTGGAATTTTTACGCTCTCATACAATTAAATTCTTAAATTGTTTATTCATATGAAAAGTATATGTTCTACATATGTATATGATTATTTAATTAACATTTTAAATGCATTTTTAAAGTCGGCAATTGATATAAAATGCATTCTTGCAACTGTAAAATTACGATGAAAATTAGACCAAACGAAAAGCAATATAACCCATCAAGCCTAAAATAATGGTGATGTGTTACCTTAATGCTACTTAATATATTTATATTTTTCAAATTAATATATGCTTGTTGTTTATATTACTAATAATAATAAATAATTTTGTTAATTCATTAAATAATTTCTTGATCTACCGTTATATTGATTGGAATACCGAAAAGAGGAACATAATTTTTAATAAATGGAGTGGCAGCAGAAATGTCTTTAAGTGGATATGCTTCCGGCCATCGAGTATGTCTGTCAATGATTGTTAATATGTATCGTTTCTTCTTTGAAACTGGAAGAGGTCCTACTAGATCCATATAAATATGTTCAAATCGCCCAAAAGGAGTATTAATCTTTTGAATTGGAGTTTTTGTGTTCCTAGTAACTTTAGACTTCTGAGAGTTAATGCAAGATGATGTCCAAATATTAATTTTTTTACGCATATAAGGGCAAAAATATTTAGATTGAATGAGACGTCGAGTTGTTCGAACACGTGGATGTGATAAAAAATGAATTTTTTCAAAAACAATTTTTCTAATTGAATAAGGAATGGTTTAAAATGTGCTTGTGTAACATCACACCAAATATTAAGATTTAGAATAGGTATATTAATTTATTTTCAATTACTATTAGCACTTAGATCTGAAATAATATATTTAAGTATTTCGTCATGGGGCCTAGTAAAGTTATTTAAAGAACTTGACACCCATGAACAATGCAAACTGTTTGCTGAAAAACTTAATCTGCTGCCGAAGACACGGTTGTGTGCCGTCCATATATCACAAATGTGCTACAGAAAGCGACATAACAAAGTTGGTTGCTTTAAGTGCTCGAGAGACAATTGGCAATTTACATAAATAAATAAATATTGTCATTAAAAATGTTATTATTTTTTCAGGGAGACGTGTAGAAGGATGGAAGCGAGGACCTTAAGCTGGAATTTTCCCAGATAATGTCCGATCGCCCGAGGTCCTCTTTCCCCTGATAAAAACATGTCAATGAGTGTAGTACTATCCGAACTGATTTCTGGTAGGTCTATGATTGCCTCTCGCAGCATGGATGTCTGCTTGAGAAGGTAAATCATAGTGGCCCATTTGGTTCATTGAACGGTGGAAGTGGATTGAGTCACTATAGTGGGTGGTCAAACGATTCTATTACAAAGAAAATTATATTAACTTTGGAAACTTCGCCGATGTTGTAGTTGAATTTTCATGGAGGCAGGGGGTAATGAAGAAAAAATGGATATTGTTATATGAAGCAAAAAATAAGAATATGAATAAATAAGTAAAATTATAAAGGTATTTTACTTAAGAATGCAGTGCAAGGCGGAGCCGATCTTGGTTACTTTAAAAAATTATTAGCATAAATGTAAATGATCGCTGGGTTTCATATATATTATTCACTTCTGACATAAATGCATTTAAAATTGGTTACATATTTTAGATTTATGTAAAGTTTAAGTATTTATTTTATAAAATATTCTTCTACTTTGGGCAAAATATGCTAAAAATTTAAAGTTTATTAGAAAGCCCAGGAGAGGTATGGATATATTAATTAAAAGTTTAATTCATTTACTTTCGATCCCTTCACACCATTTCAAAGTGGGATACTTAAGTAAAGATTTCCCTAAATAAAACTTAATTTAATAGGATAGTTAGCGATAAAATATATCTGAAATAATGAAGTACTGCCTAAAAAACAATGATGAAGCTCTTATTTACTTTTGGTTGTCTTCGGCCACCTGGGCCCTGGTTTGATCAAAACAGCCTACGCCTTGCACCGTAGCTTATTGTTTGCTTATTTTTGTGCCAACAATTTTAGTTCAAGTACCGCCCACTGTATATATGACGGAATTGGTTCGGTAACGTCAACGGTTGGTTGAGCCCAAGGTTTATAGAATATAAGGTTACGACAGGAGCGAAATCATATGTTTAACGACGAAGTTGGTTCAATACTATGTATTGCCGAAGATTTCAAAGTAAATTTTCATAATTTTATCTACAAAACAATGCAACACTTTCACTATAAAATTCTAATATCTGGTATTAATTTTTTTTAAACCAATAACAATCACAATTAAAGCATCCAAAATAATTTTATGTCGAGCAAATGTATTATAATTTCCCAAAAAATTTATATTAAAAAATTAATATCATATTAATTTTAACAAAAATTTGTTTGGGATGAAATATGTTCTAAGCAAAAATTCAGTCGTAAAGCCAATGAATAACGCCGCTAAAAAGCTAAAAGTATTGGGAATCATTTGTGTAAACTTGGCATTTGAAAATTTGCTTATAATTGAAGAATTCAGAGAATTCAATGGCGGAATAAGTCTGTTAATTACGAAATGCTTAACAAACTCTTAATAATAATTGCAAAAAAAAATAATAAAAAAATGAATTTTTATTTACATTTTTTATCTACTTCACATTTCCTTATTTTTCCATCATTGCCACGGCACATATTCTTTCCCTGGGTTTGCTGGAGATTGCTCCTTCCACCGCACTAAATCCCAAAAGGCGTCAACATTTATTCACAGAATTAACTGCTTAAGGGCTATATCCATTTATTAAGTAATGAGCAAACTCCATATACAAAAACCCTTAAGTTGATGGTTAAGAAAATTTTTGCTGTCATGTGAGCATTGATTGGTATCCTGTAATTGGTAAATAATATTAAAACACACCTCTGAATACATTTTGCAGAAAATAAAATAATATTGGTCAATTGCCAATTGAAGGTTCTCTTTAATATTGTATTTCTAGGGTAGGAATTGAATGAGATAAGATACTTAAAGAGATATAAATAATTGTACTTCGGAAGCCGAGATTCATAAAATTGGCTAAACAAATTGGGATGTCATTCTATGCTCAAATAAACTGCCTATGAGTTTACTGTCTTTATGGGAGCAATCAGTTACGGAAAAGTCTGACATTCCTAAGTTGGGAAGTTATGGGTAAATTCTGGACAATCCGGTTTCTGATTTTGATAACAGTATGCGACCACAGAGGGGCTCAATTGACTTTCTTTCCAGGACTGCTGATTGTTTTTTACTCAAATATATTTGGAGAATGTGCCATGTGTGTGTGCCGGGCGGTTAATCTTTATTGTCCCGGCGAAGGGCCGGTATGTGTAGGCTATGTGGGGGAGAGTATTTTATAGTTAGGAGAAGGAATGCATTGAAGATATTGACCGATGACCATTAAAATATTTTGCGCTGTAGCTTTTCAAATAGTGGTGGAGCGTGAGAGAGATAAAATATACATACATACATATGTTCTCCGAACAACTGGTACTTTCAAGCCACTCCTGGCGCTTGAAAACAAAATTGTAGTAGTACGAATTTTGTTAAGATAAGCTACCCTACCGCAATTAGGGAAAATAACTGGGTGGCGACGTACAAAAAAATTCATTTGCTTCACCCTCTATTAGGTACAAGAATTTTTCTACGGAGCTAATGCGAATGTCATGATCCAAGACGATGGTCTCTACTAACATCTTCTTTTCGACTTCGGACAATTGACTTCAGACCTCTCTTGTTGCGGACATGCATCTCAAATATACTTTTCTATTGTACCGTCAGCATAGTCAAAAACCGAAAATGAACAAATTGGATATTGCACGTAGTGCAGGAAATAACGAACTCGCAATACTAATTGGAAATGACTTTTTACTAAAAAAAGAAAAATTTTGGGAAAATAAAACTTTACTGAAGCTTGTAAAAGTAAGTTAAGCAACTTCAAATATACTTTTAATAATGAATACAAAAACACCAAAAATTGGGAATACAATAGACCCAAAACTGAAAACAAAAATAACCTAGCAATTTTCCGCCCTCTTATATAGATTGTGTAGCTGTCAATGTCAAATATGTACGAGAAACTGACTTTTCTCTCTAACTTGCAGCACTGAAAGTAAGAACTATTTTCTTAGCCTATAAAACAGATGAAGCTTTCAAATTAAAATCAAACTTATCAGATTTTATGGAAGACAAAACATGACCACTATATCCAAGGTTTAAATATTTCATTTAGTTTTTTTTTTTTTGAGTTCTAGCATCGCTCTATTTTTATAATTAATTGTTAATTGTATTTGGCAATTGTAATCATCGATATACTTAAATATTCCGTATTATATATATGTTTTTTCTAGAGTAAATGGTCAAGAAAAGGATTTATGAGAACACGCTGGAATATTGACGGGACTATCGTAGATTTTGTGAATATACATTTATTTCATGATGCGTCTAACTTAACTGCAGTTGAAAATTCTCCTTCAGTTTATTCTCAAATGCGGAGAAAAGCATTATTACACACTTTGCAAAGGTTTTGGGCAATATTTCTCGATTGTTTTTAAATGCGTCCATATTGTTCTTTTTTCAGGTTTTATAACGATAAGAACAACGAACCTGTGCCATATTTTCTATTCGGCGACTTCAATTTTCGATGTGATTCTGCTTCCGTAATCAAGGTAAATATGAATGGTTATAACGAATATGATCTAACTCATACCTACATATCTGTGAACCAAAAAATATATTAAATTCTTTTCGGAAACAAAATTTTCGTACAATTGAAATACATATGATTAAATCTGGAGACAACTGTTTTTTACAAACTGATTTTTTCAAAAAACGTTCCTTTTCCATGATGCACGAATAGTAAGCCATCTTTAACTGAATAAAAAGATTGACAATAAAATATGAAATATGAAAAAATATCGCATACATATGAGAAAAAAATATGACTGCAGGAATTTAATAATAAGCCCAACGAATACCCTCCACCCGTCCAACCGACACGAGAGGCAACATCTGCATAACGTACGGAATATGCCGAGTCATGATTGGCGTTTGTTAAGCATTAAGATTTAAAACTGTTCAGCTACAGAAAACATAATAATTCGACAGCTGAAACTTAGTTATTATGGAATTTTTTAAATTTAATTATTAAAAACACAGAAATAAATCATTAGAAATTTGTTTGACTACAAAATTTCATATGCTTACCTGTTGACCTTTCGTGGCTGGTTGCTCAATTGCATACCGTTTCGGTTACGTAAGGGCGTTACTCAGAGGCGAAAACCGATTGGTTTTGGGTGACCGTAGAGGAATGGAGCTGGAGAAACTGATAGAAATTCTACACAACGACCCACAATTGGAAATTTTCATAGCTCGACTTTAAAACAATTACTAGCGGTGGTCTGATAATGAGCGTGGCGACCTATGCTGTTCGTCAAAAAATCTACTTATAATTATCGCCTTCTTTTCTCTGTAGTGAAGACAATAAAAGACTTTCTTCTCACGTCTTTCACTCATCACTTGAGCCCATCAGCATAATGGCTTCCGAAAAGTTGTCGAATACTGACCGCGAAAAATTAATTATTTAATGTTTGCTAGTTTATTTGCTTTATTTTGCCAAATACTCCTTTCAATCTTAGCGTTGATAGTGACGTCTGTCGGCAAGTAGTCTTATAATTGCTTGCCAGTAAATAAGGGTACGATTGTATTCCGTATTACCCTAAAGGAGGTGTGCTTACCAAAGGCATTTTCCTCAACTACAAAATGTTAAGGGAAAGGGATACAAATCGCGGGAATTCCCATGTATTTGGTGCGCGATTATGGCGTGCACTATACATCCCCGTCCCATACAGTAATGGGGGCGGCGCAAATGATTCGGTTGATGATTCCAAACATTTAAACTCCTAACTAAACTCTAATTAAACAATGGTTTCCGAAATTAGATATCCCTTTTCCACTTTTTTAACTTTAAAAGCTCCCTCTACTACCAGAGCCCTGGCCAGAAAGTGAAGTGCAATCTGCCGACCTTGCCCACTTGGGGTTCAGAGAAGGGAGCAATACAGCACATAAGAACTGAACCGCTGGATATGGCGGCGTACACTGGAATTTTTCTGCAGAGATGGGGAAGAAATTATTTATCTTCAAAAATTTTCAAATTTTCCTAGGTGCTGATGTGATAAAGCACGCGCATTAGAAAACAATTGAAGTATCAAGCAGAACATTCTTTGTTAATTTTTTTTCATTTTATTATACATTAGGCCATCAGAAAAGCTTTATCGCGGTAAAATCGAATAACGTATTCCTGGGGTACGACATCCCAAAGTTCAACAATCTGGCGTTGAATTTTTCGTGTTCGACTGGTGTCTGTTCAAACATGTCTATAGAGAAAACATCTGCCAATCCAATGAGCTCAGTTTCCGCGGAAGGTACATAATATATTTTTCGAACGTTTAGAGATTTAAAAAATACAAGCGACAAGACTTCTTCAAAAGAAATCAACTTTTTTTAATTTTAAAATTTCTATGGATCACGAAATATTTCAGATACATAAAATACTTTTTGAAAGCAAATGATGTCAAACTTATCTATAGAGATCCTGATGACATATATTGAAATATTTAAATTTAAACATTTCTTTTCAGACCAAAACAAGCTAAATCAAAACTTTTTACATGTTATGTGATAATATTAGATAATATTTTATTATATTTTATTGTAGTAAACGATAAATACTGCATAAAAATACATCTGCTTATCAAATTTGGTTGGAACGTCTCCAAAACAAAGAGAGACGAACAGACCAATGGTATAAATATTAGTGGACGTTCTTCTTTCACTCTTTCAGAAGATGGTAAGAAATCTTGATTTCCTACTGATATCATTCTATTCTTATTTCAACAAGTCTTGAATAGTAATCAAAATAATTTTGTCGCATAAATGAAAATATATAATTTAAAGAAACTATCATTATGGACCAAAATTTTTATGAATTGTGTTTAAGTAACACATCTCTTGAGAACTCAAATTAAAATGGTATGTAAATGTTATTCAGGCTACACTGGTTCAATATTATATAATTGATATTGAACTGTCGGTTTTCTCGAAAACTTTATACGATACGCTTAAGACCTTAATAACTAATTTTAAAACTGGGGCAGCCAAATTAGTTATTTGGTAATAATACAGTTTGAAACAGTTGAATTACGTATTTTTCTGCATAACTTAAAGTTAAACTTGAAATAAATTAGGTTATTGGGTTATAGTTCTCAGTTCGCTAATTTTAAGAGGTGACATGGATTGTAAGTTTAACACAGTTCAATAGCAAAGGAAGGTTTCTTTAAACAAGATAAATATATAGCTTACATTTTCTTTAGCTAGAAAGCCGTTACAGTGAGATTATATTTTGGGACCTGGACGCAGGTTCCGCTCTTAGTACTTCTTCTGCGAAAACACTTACATTTACCCAGTTTGCTTCGGTTTGTAGCTTAATTGAGACAATATTGACTACTCTTAGTTCTCCAACTGTGTTTTCAAGTCTGATTCTCGCGTCCAGACCATTGAAAAATTGTATGCTCGGCGTCATCTTCGTCAGCATCGTTATAGATATATGATGGATCTATAGCCTTTCCTATTTTATGGAGGTATTTCCTAAAATATCTGTGACCAGACAGCATCTGGGTAATGTAGCAGTCTATTTCACCGAATTTCCTGGTTGCCCATATTCTGACTTCGGCTTTTAATTTGGCCGTCCATCGACCATGACTTCCTTCTTCCCATCGGGCTTGCCACTGGTTCAGGGTTTCTTTCCATATGTCCTCTCTGTTTGTATTGACAGTGCATTCTTGGTACTTCATTTTTTTCAGCGCCCAGGTTCTTTTCTTTTTGATGGGAACGCTTCCGCTTATTACAGCTAGAGCTTCCCCTGATACTATGCGGTATGCCGACGCTACTCTCAAAGCCGGCGTACGGTATGCTTTTGCCAGTATCATTCGCCTATTATTCTTCTTAAGTGAGTCTGCCCATAACCCGGCTCCATACAGTAAGATTTTAAGGGCTGCCGCCATGATAAGCTTCCTTTTCTCTTGAGTTGGGCCTCCTATGTTACCCATTCGTCTGCAAAGCGGTGTGCTGGATTTGTGCCCAGTAGCTCAATCTCATTCTAGGCTTACTCCCAGATAGTTAACAACTCTTCTTGACCTCAGTGTATCCGCAATTGTGTGCATGTCTATTTCCAAAGGTATTTGTTTCCTAGTTAATAGTAGCAACTCAGTTTTATCTGTTGTGAGTTTGAGGCCGTGTTGGTCAAGCCACATTTTTGGTTTAACTCTACGTGCGTTTTCCGTATCGCGCGGTTATTATAACGACAATGTCGTCAGCATATCCCACGAGATATGAGCTATCGGGCATCTCAAGGTCTAATATGACATCGTAGCTGACGTTCCAGAGGTCTGGCCCGATCATATCTTTCCACTCTGCACTGTTGAAGGCATTTCGAACGCCCAATGTGTCTAGTAGGACCATTTGCTTGTGACCCGCTTGTTGAGCCTTTTCAGTACTTTTAATTACATTTTCGATTGCTTCCAGTGTTGATCTACCGGGTGTGAAACCGTATAACTTTTTTGAGGGCCCTCCTCTTCTAGCAATAGCCTCTTGCAGTCTCAGTTTTAGCAGTCTTTCCAGAAGCTTTCCAGCATGCAGGGAGGGCGGTATGCCGATGAGTTACCTGGGTTCCCTTTCCCAGTACTAATTAGCACTAGCTGCTGTCTTTTTCAAATTTCTGGGAATAGGTTTCTTTTCAGGCAGGCATTAAACATTTTAAGAAGAAAGTTAGGTCGTTTTAGGGCAAGGAGCCATATTAAGATCCTTACGTAACTTCTCCAACTTTTCTTTTTTACTATTCTCGATGGCACGCTTTAGTTCTTTTTCTTCTTTCTTTCTTTTCGCAGAGTGGTACATTTCCATTTCTGTGAAAGCATTGCTTCTTCGTCTGTTCCTTGTATAAGCCCACCGAAGGCGTAGACACGTTTTCCTTAGTTGCGCTATGCTGTCAGTCCAAAAGTACGCAGCTCGTTTTTGCCTACTATTCGTGGCTCTTGGCATACCCTTATTGCACGCTCGACTCATTATGAACATTGTGTCTTCCTCTAATTTCTTTCCGTTTTCCGAGTTGTTCTAAGATGGCTTGTTTATCAATTTCGGATAGTAGTAGGCTAGTGTTTAGCTTTGAAGTATTCCATTTGCGGAGAGAGCTATGTGTACTATTTTGATCAGGTCGGACTCGAGTTTCTGTTGTGAAGGTTTTATACTGGTGATCACTGCCAGTATAGTCCTCCATGGACTTCACAACGTATTACTGTGCCTGCTAAGCGCTCCGGTGCCAATGTTATGTTGGGTGTTGTTTTTTCGCATCCTGGTCGTCCAGTCGTGCAGCCATCTCTAGAATCCGTTTACCTCTAGAATTGGTGCTCTGCATACCCCATTCGACTGCTTTTGAGTTAAAATCTCCCGCGATTATCATTTGTGCTTCTGTCTCTCGAGCGGCGTCCTCTATACAGTCCAGTTTGGCTTGAAAGTCGTGGATGTTATCGCTTGGTATTAGGTAGCAGCTAAAGATAGTGTAGAGGGCGCATTTGGTCCAGACGAAACCATCTCCGTTCCCGCTTGCTGTGGT